GTCAAAATTAAGAACTTTTATGTAGCAAAAGATACCATCAAGAGAGTGAAAAGACAGCCCACTTAATGGAAGAAAATATTTGCAAATCATATATCAGATTAGGGACTTGTATTGAGAATACGTAAAGAACTCTTACAACTGAATAATAAAAAAGAAAATCTAAAAATTTGGCAAAGGTACATGAAAAGGTGCTCAACATCACTCATCTTCAAGGAAATGCCTATTGAAACCACAATGAGATATTAGCTCATACCTGTTAGAATGACTGTTACCGAAAAGAAATAAGTTTTGGTGAGAGTGTGAAGGAAAGGGAAGCTTTGCACACTGTTAGTGGGAGGGTAAGTGGGTATAACTACTTTGGAAAATAGTATGAATTCTCCTCAAAAAATAAAAAACAAACAAACAAATGAACAAATGAAGAAAAAAGAGACAAACTAAAAACCAGACTCTTAAATACAGAGGACAAACTGGAGGTTGCCAAAGGGGAGGTAGGTGGGGGATGGGTGAAATAAAGGGAATTAAGAATACATTTGTCTTGATGAACACTGAGAAATGTATGGAATTGCTGAATCATTATATTGTACACCTGAAATTAATATAACACTATATATATAATTAATTATACTTGAATTTAAAAATTGAAAATAAGACTACCATGTGATCCAGCAATTTCACTGCTGGGTCTTTATTTGAAGGATATGAAATCACTACTTGAAAAAATATCTGCACCCCATGTTCATTGCAGCTATATTTACAATAGCCAAGATATGGAAGTGATATAAGTGTCCACTGGTAGGTGAATGGATAACAAAAATGTCTCTCTCACACACACACACACACACAGGAATATTATTTACCCATAATAAAGAAGGAAATCCTGACATTTGTAACAACATGATGGACCTTGAGGACATTATGCTAAGTGAAATAAGTCAGAAAGAGAAAGGCAAATACTGTATAATACCACTTATATGCAGAATTTAAAACAAACGAACAAAGAGAAAAAAAAAACTCTCATAGATACAAAGAACAGAATGGTGGTTGCCAAAGGTAGGGGCTGGGGCTTGGGCAAAATGGGTGAAGGTGGCCAAAAGGTACAAACTTCCAGTTATAAGATAAGTAAATCCTGGGGATGTAATGTATAACATAGTGACCACAGTTAAAAATACTGTATTATGTATTTGAAAGTTCCTAACAGAGTAGATCTTAAAAGTTCTCAGCACACACATACACATACACACACACACACACACAAATTTATAACTATGTATGGAGATGGATGTTAACTAAACTTATTGTGGCAATCATTTTACCCATATATACATATATCAAAACATTATATTGTTCATCTAAAACTAACACAATGTTATATTTCAGTTATATCTCAATTAAAAAAATGGCAAATGATTGAAATTGACAGTCTCCTGCAGAAGATGCACAAATGGCCAGTAAGCATGTAAAAAGATGTTCAACCTCATTAATCATTAGGTAAATGCAAATTGAAACCACAACGAGATACCACTTCACACCCACTAGGATGGCTACAATTAAAAATCCAGGTAATAAGTGTTGGTGAGGATGTGAAGAAATTGGAATCTACAAACATTGCTGATGGAAATCTAAGCTCCTTTGGAAAAGTTAAGCAGTTTTTTAAAATGTTAAACACAGAGTTTCTGTATGACCTAGAAATTCCACTCCTAGGTGTATACCCAAGAATTGAAAACACAAATCTACACAAAAATTGTACACAATGTTTATACCAATGTTTATACAATGTTTATACCAATATTATCCAAAATAGCCAAAAAATGGAAATAACCCGAATGTCCATCAGCTGATGAATGAATAAATAGTATGTAGTATATCCATAAAATGAAGTATTTGGCAATGAAACACAACAAACTGCTGATTCATTCTATAACATGGACAAGCCTTGAAAACATTATACTAAGTGAAAGAAGTCAGTCACAAAAGATGTTCAGATGAAATAGCCCAAACAGGCAAACCCATAAAGACAGAAATACATTAGCGTTATCCTGGGACTGGGGTGGGTAGGTCAGGAATTGTTAAAATGACTGCTAATATGTTTGGGGTTACTCTTTTGAAGGATAAAAATGGTACAATGTTAGGTGGTGGTGGTATTGGCACAACTTTGTGAATATACTAAAAAACTACTGAACTATATACTTTATTTTTTTTAAAGATTTTATTTATTTGACAGAGAGAGCACAAGCAGAGGGAGAGAGAGGGAGAAGCAGGCTCCCTGCTGAGCAAGGAGCCCGATGTGGGACTCCATCCCAGGACTCTGGGATCATGACCCGGGCCGAAGGCAGCCGCTTAACCAACTGAGCCACCCAGGCGTCCCTGAACTATATACTTTAAATAAGTGAATTTTATGATATGCGAATTATATCTCAGTGAAATTTTTTTCTTTAAAGCACGATGCATGCTTGATTTTATCTCTTTAGTTATGAAGTTTGGGATGAGCACCCTCCAAAAATGACCAGTGATTTTTCTCTTCTTTTTTTGGAGGTGGGGGTGTGGGTGGGCAGGAGTGGCTGTTTAAATTTTTATAGGTTTGATTTGCTGACCAGAGTGTGATCCAAATAGTGCTGCTGTCTTCCTTTCCCTAGAATATAAGCTCCATGAGGACGGGGTTTTGACTCTTGTTTACCTCTGTGTTCCCGGAAGCAAGAAGTATGTCTGGTGCATAATAGGCAGTCAATAAGTAGTTTTTGATAAATGAATGAATGAGTGACCCTGTAGTTTCTGATCACTTGGAGCTAATTCTCTCTGGTTTCCTAATTCTAATATCTTGCTCTGTGATCACAAACAACCATTCTCTAGTTTTCATGTATTATGGCTCTGTCTAGAGCTACTCTTTGTGTTAATCTAGACCAGACTGTGCAGCCGGGACCTTGTGCTAGGGTGCATGTCAATGAGGGCAAAAATTGAGGCTGAAATCCCACCTGGGCTCCGCTTGCAGAGCTGAGTCCCCTGGGTACTGAAGTTGATCAGCCAGAGGAAAGGGGCCTCAACTCCTCATTTTACTGTGCAGAGGGGGACTTACCTTCTAATTCAACCCAGAGGGCTTGCCACTGAGCAATTTGACCTCTTTCTCGAAGGGGTGCTTTTTTAATTCCTACGAAGGCATTTTATGTGCTGGTAAGCCATATTTGAAACTATTTGCCCCCTGAACCCTACATTCTTCCAAAATTATTGGCTCTTCCCCAGTATCACATCCTTCCTCATTCAGGCAGGATCCCACAGATCCAACTAATTACCATCTTATTAGAACTAACAAATGCAAGTTTCCCACATTGCAATTCTACAGTCTCTGTGTGGAATATTGTAGGAAAACCCTCACAATCGCATGGTCAGGCAGCACAACAAATACATGGTCTCAAATCTCACTGGCTTCATCTTTGCTTTTCATCAATTCTTTGACTATGATTTGATCATTTATGTATCTGACTCTTATAACTCTTAATCCAAACAAGTACTTTATTAACTACCACCCTTCTCTCTTAGATGACTGCCTCACTGCTTTTTTCAAAGGGAAAATAGTCCATCATTTTCTTCCCTTAGCTCTCCCCAATATATGTATTTACATGACAATTATTCCCTGTTTACTTGCTGAGAATTAGGTGTCTTTCCTCTGTTCTAAAGCGTATATCTATATGTCCCTGTGCTATTAACCTCACTTCCTTTCATGGGCTCATGATCCTTATTCCATCAATTACCTCTTTCTTCCCAATATATTCAAACCTTACTCCCTATTTTACATTTCCTCTTAACCTTTGCATGTACTCAAGTCTCTCTTATAGTTGTAATTTCTAGTTTATGAGGGTTGACTGAACAGCGGCTACTTCTTCCTCATATCAGCTCCAATAAAAAAATCCCTGGCTACATTGGAAATTAGGAAGTGACATTATTGTTGAACTAGAATATGTGAATCCCTAAGGAACAAAAAGTATACAGACTATAATGAAGAAAGAATGCATAACCTAAAGGACCTGCAACAGAGGACTGTTCTAAATGGTGGAAATTCTTGCACTTCATGAGCAAATGACATATACATATAGCACACAGATATTCCACTCCTGAATTTATTTCCCAAAGAAATTATTCAAGGGGCAAAGAATTGTAGGCAACCTAGATGTCTATTTCTGGGAGAGTGCATGTGTAAAATGTTCTGGATGCATGCCGTAGAGTATTGGCAGCATTTACAATCGATTGTTGTACTGATAGCAACGTGGATGGATCTTAAAAACATACTGCTGAGAGAAAAAAAGTATGCATGTACATGTGTGCATAATCTATATGAATTACAAATACATGCTTACAGAACAATGCCATGCATTGTCTGGAAATACTTAAAAATATGCACATTATATACAAGGGAACAGTTGCTCATGGAGGGAGGGAAGTGGGAGTGGGGTATGGGGTATGGTGTATGGTATTTTTTAAAAATGGAGGAGTCCTTACAGACATAAAAATTTCTAACAGGATAATGTACCTAAAATGTTTATAAAATTCAAAGTGTGATCAAACATAAAGTAAACTTGTGGACAAAAAGATGTAACATTTTGGGAATTGGACTTCCTAGAAAAACTAAAATCCAGGAGATATTCATTTGTGTAGTTTCAATAACATAAGGAGATTTTAAATTATAATATACTTTACTCTAGGTAGCCTATGCAAATTTTAGCAACATCTGGTAAGAAAGAATTAGAATTTGTGTTTCAAGCTAATCTGTTGAGAGACCTTCATAGGCAATGGACTACTTTTTATAATTTAAGCTAATTTCCTTTTCACAATGAAATGTTGATTTTCTTGAATCAGCATTTAGCATATCATCCTATAATATCAGATCTAAATCCCACTCCAGGAACATGTACCCATTTTTAAAATTTCTCTTGTATGGGACAATCTCTGACCAGATTCAACTTGAGATAAATTTATGCTCACCACCCCACACAGAAGAAAAACCATACTTATCAATTTAAATTTTTATTAATGAAATGGAGGAAAGGAAATACTGAGGTGGACTTAATTAAAATGCATTTTCCAAGAAGCCTCTTGAACAAAATGAAGTTCTTCATTCATCACTAAACTTTTCTCCTTGACTGAGGTCATAATGGTTCTTTAATATGAAGGAAAAGGATCCCCTTCTGCCATATACCTGAGGTAAGTGGATGTTAGTAAATTGAATCATTAATACACTCCAAAATAAAGAACTTCAGGACTTTGAGTAGAATTTGGAAGAACGCTCATTGGAAAGTTCTTATCCTTGAGTTTTAAAAATTAAACCATGTGCTTTTGCTACTTAAAAAAAAATTTCCTTCCTCCTTTCTTCTTCCCTCCTCTTTCCCTTTCTCCTTCTCTTCCATTTCTTTCTCCCCCCCTTCCTTTTTGTTTCTTTAGGTTGATAGCCAAAAACAATGCTATATGAATAGATAGATCCCTAAATACAGATTGATCATGTAAGAACATATAGCTTTCTACTCAAACAAAATTGCATTATTTAGTGTACTGTTGAATACCTATCAGTTTAAATTCTGTCTGAGTAGAAAATTATACATTCTTATGTGTTCAATTTATACTTTTTCTCTTTCAATTTATTCATAGAATTATGAATTTGATGTGTTTGTGTGTGTGCCTGTGTGTGTGCATGCAGGTGTGTCTGTTTACCTTCCTTTTGGCTAGAACCATAATTTCTTTTTAAAATTCTTAGTTTGGATGGTTTTAGATAGAACTAAAGGCATTTCCATCTTACTGCTCCCCATTTTACTACTTGGCCATCATTTTCTAGTCTCACAAATTTGACTTTTAACTTGGCTTTTTACCTGGGCCTTAATCTCCTTAGGCTCCTACTCTGTCCCTTAACTCTTCCTGCTATAGCTCTACAGTTTCTCCATGGGTAGCACCATTTATACCTATAGCTTGGTAACCCACCTATAAATTTACAGCAATCCTAATGCTGAATCTTCATCCTAGACCACTCAAGTTCTAGGCTTATATTTCCAGCTTCTTACTAGAGGTTTCAACCTAGATGATCCCAAAGCACTTGAAATAAATATATTTCAAACTGAACTTATCATCTCACCCACAAAATCATTTCCTTGTTTTCATCCATTTAAGAGCACAACCATCACCCAATTGCCTTGGCCAGGTTGCTGAGAAGCTCTCTCAAATAGAAAAAAAAATCTGACAATCCTTTTGATATGATATAAATATATATATGTCCTCCTTTTCTCCATTTCCCAAAATTAAAATTTAGGCAGGCAACACTTAATAGCACGAGAGTTTGATATTATAGCACAACATTCGTTTCTGTAACACTTTAGACTCAATCTACTTTCTTGACTCCCATTTCCCACCGACCCCCACAAAGCTTGTGCTCCATACTCTTTAATTTACTTACCATTCCATAAATATGCCTTGTTTAGCTTACCATCGTAATCTGCAGATTGCTTTGCTTAAATAATTTCTATTTTGAATTAATCTGATAAAACTATTAGGCATAGAGATGGGATTATTGGCAAAAATTTTTCCCTTTAGATTTTCCACTCTCTTGATACTCAGAGGCTACATCACCATTTGTGCCGCAAAAGGCAATTCCTTTTGAGAATATGTAAGATGTCATTCCATAGAAATTAGGGTATTGAAAGCCTGATATCTGGGTCACTGATTGCCTTTTAGTAAATTTTCTGTAAAGTTTCCCTCCCCATTGCTAGTTTTTGTTATCTTAAGAAACACTTTGCTTGAGAAAGTTTTCCCATACTCTGGTGCTCTATAATTTCCATCATCATACATTCTACACATGACACTTTTGCTGGGAATAAAACCTAATAGTCTTGGGTATAGCTTTCAAAGCGGGGATTTACCCATATCATTCTTCCTCACCTCATAGCTTAGATCAAAGATTTCCTTGAGCTTCTTCCATTTTTTTTCACATTATATGGGCAATTTGTATTTCCATACTCTTATCAGAGCAATGGCTGACTTGATCTCAGGCATTAACTTTAGTGTGATTGTTTCAATGCCTATCCTTAGCAGATGCTTGTAGTGGAGGGTAATATTATCTGGGTATCAATGGCTTCATCTAAGTACATATGAAGTCTTAGAACCAGGAATATCTGAAACAGGATCTGTAAGGATCTCCTTCCCTCTTTTCTCGCAAATATTTTTTTTCTTACACCTGCTCCAAGACCCCCAGGTCCTAGGCATTTTGATTCTTACTTGTTATTTCCTAAATCTCCCTATATATCTGGTCTAGAACTTATGGACAAACCACTCTCTCCTCCACATTAACTTTGTGCTCCTTCTGAGTTTCTTATAATTGCACTGATCCTTACGCCTGGGCCTGGGTACTGGGGAGGAAAGGGCAGATGTATCTTTTACTAAAGTTCTTAGATTCAGGGATGTTGAGGATAGTTGGAGATCGTTTGTCTTTAGACCTGAAGTAGCTGATGTGGAGGAAGTAGGAGAATGGCTTTTACCAAAAATGGCATTTTTACCGTCTTTTGCAACTTCTCAGTTACTTCAAAATCATGGTTTCTGAAAACACCAAAGGTTCTGACTTTGCTACCCAACATGTTCTCTCAAACTTTGAAAATTGTGAGACTTTAGCATCCCAAATCCCTGCACCTGGTCACAGCCTCCACAAAGTTTTTTTTTTGTTTGTTTCCAGTGGAAATATCTGTTAGACTAAACAGACTTGAGCCAGCAAATCACATATCTTCTATCCTGTTCTCTCATAAGGTGTGAACATAAAAATATTATGGGATACGACATACCCCTGTCTAGGGCAAATTATTTACCCTCAGTTGTAGAGAAACCCTTGTAGTACACAGGAGTGCAGAGTGTTTTCAGCTATCTATAACACAGTTTAGAGAGGACACTAACTTCTTATCAAAACCTTAGTTCAGTTCTTCAAACAGCGTTCATAGCCGAAGCCAATATCTTCTGTTTCACCAAAGGAGAAATGAGATACTCACCACGTCTTTATTATCTGTGATATTTTGCTTTGTATCCCCAATGGACCACTGTACACGTCAAAAACAACTCGAGGAAGGTGAATAGGAACAGATATTCTGAAAGAATTTTACCACTTCTCTGTTTCCAAAAATAAAATATACATTCCTTACGATTTTTATATGTTAACATGTTAGAAATAATAAAGGAATTGTACAATTACAGGAAGATGGAAAAATAAAAGAGAAAAACTACTCAATATATCCCCATCCCCTAAAGCCATGGGTATTTATATATACTTTTCTTGATCATAATGATAACTGATAATTATTAAGGATGAGTATAAGCTGACAAATTTCTGCCAAATGGCTAATGAGAATCATCGATTGTGTCTTCCTGTGTGTTGTTGTGGATAAGGTCAGCGGATTTTCAATGAGCCTCTGGAGAAGATGGAACTGAGACACGTTTGAGGTCAAGTGTTACAGAACTTATTTAACAGAGAGATGTTCAGAATTAGACCTCTTTTGGGAAAGGGCCCTATAGAGGAACTTACAGTGAAGTAAAAAGTTTTGGGTTTGTGACCCAGGCTCAATAGAAGGACTTATGCATCCTGTGGGTAGGTGGTTTCCTCCTCGGACTGTGCCTCTGATTATAAGCCCCAATAGACCTATATCCTTGTAGGATAGTTGAATATTTGAAGGATAGAATACTGGAAGCCTGAAGCACCCAAAGCACTTTTGTGACAAGGCCACCATGGGCTACTGGGACCAGTTTTCAATCCTGACACCATTTAAGAGTAACTGAAGCCATGGCAGTGAAATTATGGGTATGCTAGTAGACTACTGAGATGCTCTAGGATTCTAACAACTAGAGGTCTGGAGTCCATAGGGAATCTTTGATTCTCAGTATTCTTGAATATCTTGAGAGGGTCAACAGGAAAGGGACCTCGGGAGGAAGGTCTTGGATTTCTTGCTAATACGAACATTGGTGGTTCAAGAGATGAATTGGAAAAATGAAAGAATCAAAATTATAATTGCACTCCAACCTAGTAAAATGAGACATTTCTATTATGCAGATGTAATCTTAAGCAATATCTGGAGGTTTATATTTATTTAAGATTTTACTTTAAGGTATCCTTCAGGGTATGCGTCCTAAAATATTAGCATTCCCTGCAGCAGTAAGATGGCTCTTTGATGTGTCATTTAACTGATTTCTGTTAGAGCTCAATTTTTTGTAGTGAAATAACTTGAAATTTAGACCATTTTTTATTAGAATGAATGTTCTGCAAGTAAATAGCTCTGACCCTGAGCAAGGAGCTTAACATTTCTTAGCTTATTTCTTTAATTGAGTCAGAGACATAAATCATTTCTTGAGGAAGTTTGCAATCCCACTTGCCATAAAATCACTTTCAAATCTATGTTGAAATAAGAAAAAATCAACAAAATGCAAGCAAACATATGCTTTAGAATAAGCTAATTAACCAAGAGTTTGGGATGTTGAAGTAAGGAGAGTTTGCTGTATTAGGTTAAGAATTTAAAAACAGGCAACATCTAATGGGCTTAATCAGAAACTGAGAAAGAAAAATTGGTTTCTAGGTCTTGGTCAAAGGCCTAACTCTTTTGACCTCTGTCAAGCTCTGGGTAGATATGATAGAACAGAAAGACAGGAATCCACAGAAAACGCTTTAGAATTTATGGTTTTAATTTCTACCCAACTTGCTTAGCACTGATTCTCATCTCCTTGACCTCCTAGCTTCTTCTCTCCACATGAACAAACCCATATAGTTAAGTGCACAGATATCTACAGTTCCACATGGACAGAAACACAGAAATATATACAGATACTGAAACACAAACATGGACACACTTAAACAGACTCACATAGACCTGCTGACAGGCAGACTGACAGACACAAAGCAAGCAGTTCAAAAATGTCCTATAGTCGTGTGCATACAGAACTGAATATACATACATTCCAAATTACATACATCTATAGAGTCTAGATTTATTTGCTCTGAAGATTACATCTCTGATGAACATAAATTCCTGGGCATCACAAGTACGTAAGGATATTATTTCCTTCTTTGAAAATCAAATCTTGCTATAATAAACTTGATCATTTAAGGTCTAGGAAAACTGGCCTCAGAGATGCAGGTACCTAGAAAGAACTAAGCGCCTATTGTAAAAATATTTTGGATACCAGGTGGGACCAGAATTGAATATAATGCTAAATCACTCAAAATATATCTATTAATATTTATAATATATTCCGTTTGCTTACTTGAGGCTTTGGGTGATCCTAGGTTTAGAAATGCAACCTGTAGTTTGAATCACATTTGTAGTATGTACATATACCAGAGTAAACTAATGATAAAGGTCACTGTCATATCTTGCATAATACTTAAATACTTTGATCACTCACCAAAGAATTTAAATGTAATTCTAAATTTGTGATGAGATCTTCATAGAAACCTGGTACTTACCTCTGGCCAAATAGGAGCATGTGTACTCACACTATATATCATAAACTCAAGTGATAGTAAAAGCAGACCAATCACTGAAATGCAGGCACTTAGAATGTTCACTGTTATGGTATAGGAAAGCTGAAATAGTTAAAAAGAGTCACCTGGTCATTGGAAGTTATCCATATACTTCACTGTCAAGTATATTCAAGTAGAAGATTTATACAAATTCTGATCTTTTCTGAATAGTAAGGTCATTAAAAGGACTGTCAGAACTGCAGATTTGTCAGGATCCCAATAGAACTGAACAATTTTGGAAAAGATAAAACTTTTGATGTAGCATGCATATATTCATTCCTTCACTGACAATTATTGAATATTAGTTCTGTACCATGCAAACTATCATCTGTCTTATTAGATCAAGAGGGAGAAAAAAAGTGGTCTCTGCAGTCAAGGAAGTCTATTGGGGGACACAAGCAAGTGCATATTAAATATGAATAGAATGTAGAAAAATGTTAACAACAAAACATACAAACAAACAAACATGCTAACAATATAGGCAAATTCATAGTGCCATATAGGGTCAGATTACCGGAGACCTAATATTCCAGGAGTTTGCCATTATTCATTTAACAGTGCAAGAAGGGGAGTCATAGGGAATTTTGTTGGAGAGACAGGTGCTATCTAGATAGATATTTAGGATTTTATCTTGAAAAAAGTGGGGAATTACATCGCTGGAGGTGCCTGCTCTGTTTTTAGGCCACACTCCTGTCAGGCTATGTACTCAGGACAGTACATATGTATAATGTTGCTGCATAATTACCCTTTGTCCATGTATTACGTCAGAGAGGTGATAAGCCCTATGATACTGTTTTCGGGGACATTCTCTCATACTTATTTCCTTGTTTTCATTTGCACCAGTAGAATTCTTTCTACCTTATATGAATTAGATAATAAATAAGAAAACTTAAACTGGATTCGGAAACCTATTTCACTGGATAAATCATATGTTTGTCTATATGCTATTCATTATTGTAGAGCGATCTTAATTTATTCTTTTGGAATAAATCTCCCTTAAAGAGAGAGAATCACATTAAAATAAAATGTTCACTAACTCATTTTTACAACCTAAACACCCAACAGTATTGATTAGTAAATTGTAGTATATAAATGTAATTTCATCTTTAAAATGAAATATTTCATGAGTTTTTAATTATATGAACAAATGGTTATGACACATTAATATTATATAGAAAAGGAGCCACCCTTGTTGAGGAAATGCACAGAGGAGGCCACGTGGAGCAGGTGTTCTGTGCAGCATGGAGTTTTACCGGCAAAAATTGAAGAATTAAAAGGACAAATAGAAAAATCCACAATCATAATAGATTTTGACATGTCTGTCTACGTAATAAGACAAGTGGACGAAAACCAAGAGTAGAAAATTGAAACATCTGACCTCGTTGATCTTCGTATATGTATGTACATGTATATGCATATATATCCCAATGTACATGCATATGCATATATTTATATCCCAGTGTACAAGCTGGATTAAATACACACGTGCACACACCAGTAATATTGTCTTGACTGTGGTAGCTATATAGTATTAGTTTTATACTTTCTCCCTTTTTGGCTATTTCCATATAGATTTTGCAATCAACTTAATCAATACTGAGAAAAAAATCCTTTTAAAGTTTTGATTGGGATTATATCGAGTCTATAAAATGATTTGAGGAAAAACTGACATCTTAAAAATGTTTGTCTTCCCATCCATGAACATACCCATTTATTTAGATACTGTTCAGTTTCTCTCTGCAATGTTTTGCAGTTCTCTATGTAGAGGTCTTAGAAATATTTCACTGATGCTCAGGAAAATAATTTCTGAGTGTTTTATTTTTGAGTGTGATTATAAAGGTATTTTTACAGATTTCATCTCAATACATAGAAATACAATGGATTTTTTTATATGAATTTGTATTCCTCAATGTTGATAAATTCTCAGTTGAATTTCTTTTTCATAGACTTCTTAGGATGTATAAGGGTGTCTATGATTAAAGCAGGTACTACTGTTAACTTTTTAAACCTTATGCCTTTTATTTCTTCTTGACTTATTGCACTGGACAAGAACGCCTGCAAAATAGCTCTCTCTCTGACAAATAAATAAATATAATCTTAAAAAAAAGAACTCCTTCTCAATATTAAACAAATTTGGTGAAATGGTAATTTCTTGCAACGCTTCTGATCCAAAGGGAAACCATTTAGTCTTTCACCATTAAGTATAATATTAGCTATAGTTTTTTTGTAGGTGCCCTTTAACAGGTTGAGGATGTTCCCTTCTATTAATAGTTCAACAAGAGCTTTTCAAAAAAAACCATTTTTTTAAAGATTAACTTATTTATTTGAGAGAGAGGGAGAGAGAGAGTGGGGGGGGAGGGGCAGAGGAAGAGGGAGAGAGAATCCCAAGCAGGTTCCATGCCCAGCTTGGAGTCCAATGCGGGGCTCGATCCCACAACCCCAAGATCACCCTGTGAGCCAAAACCAGGAGTCAGATGCTTAACTGACTGTGTCACCCAGGTGCCCCTAGAAAAAAAAAAAACCCAAACATTTCAAATGATTTTCCTTCATCTCTCTAATTACCCTAATATGTTGAATCACATGTGTTGTTTCCTGAATGTTGAACTAAGCTTGCATTCCTGGAATAAATTCCACTCTATTATGCTTTTAAAAATATATTACTGAACATGATTTATGATATTTTAAGCATTTTGACATCAGCATTCATTATGGATAGTGATCTCCTATTTTTCTTTTCTTGCAAGTAAATTTTTGGTGTCAGGATTATGTTGGACTCCAAAAAATCAGTTGGGAAATGTTCCTTCTCCTTTGTTTTCTGAAATATTTTGTGTACCATGTGATATCATTTGTTTATTAAATACTTGATAAATGTATTACTTAACACGTGTGTCTAGAATTTTCTTCATGGAAAGATTTTTAATGATTAATACAATTCCTTTAACAAATGCAGAGATAATTATGTTTTCTATTTCTTCTTGTTTCTGTTTTGGTTAGTTGCATTTTTTACAATTTCTTAGTATAGTGTCATTTGTAGCATTTCCTTGATATTTCTTACTGTCTCTAGTACCTGTAGTGATATTTCATCTTTCATTCCTGATACAGTAATTTGTGTTTTATTGTTTTATTGATCAGTCTTATCAGAGGTTTATCAATTTTATTAGTATTTTCAAAGAATAAATTTTCAGCTTTGCTAGTTTCTATATTGTTTATCTATTTTCTATTTTATTGACATCTCTTTATTCTTACTCTCTACTTTGTATTAAATATGCACTTTCTTTTCCAGCTTTTTAGGTTGGAAATTTAGATAATTAGATTTTAAGCCCTTCATCTTTTCTAATATATACTTTTATTTATTTATTTATTTATTTATTTATTTATTTATTTATTTATTATTTATTTATTTTATTTGACAGAGAGAGAGATAGCGGGAGAGGGAACATAAGCAGGGGGAGTGGGAGAGGGAGAAGCAGGCCTCCCGCCAAGCAGGGAGCCCAATGCAGGGCTCGATCCCAGGACCCTGAGATCATGACCTGGGCTGAAGGCAGTCGCTTAACCAACTGAGCCACCCAGGTGCCCCTTTATTTTTTTAAAGATTTGTCCATTTATTTTAGAGAGAGAGAGAGGAGAGCGTGCGTGCACATGCATGAGGGGGTGGGGGAGGGGCAAAGGGAGAGGGAGAAAGTTCTAAGTAGACTCTTCCCTGAGCACAGAGCCCAACTTGGGGCTCAATCTCACTACCATAAGATCATGACCTGAGCCGAAGCCAAGAAATGGACGCTCAACCGGCTGTGCCACCTAGGTGCCCCTCTAATATATAATTTAATGCTGTAAATTTCCTTCAAGCATTGCTTTATCTCAAAAATATTGATATGTAGTGTTTCCATCATTCAGTTCAAAATATTTTCTAACTTTTGTGATTTCTTTTTATCCATGGGTTATTTATTTAATGTGTTGTGTAATTTCCAATTACTTGGATTATTTCTTGGACATATAATAATTGATTTTTAATTCTGTTTCCTCTTAAGTTATTTCTATTTCCATGCAGTTGGTTGCCTATAGTAAGAATAGTAAACCTAGTCTATAATATATTATTCAATCTTGTGAAATTTGTTGTTACTTTTTTTCCGGTTCAGTGTATGCTGTATCTTGATGAATACTCTATGTACAGTTTAAAAGAGCATGTATTCTACAGTCTTTTTGTGTAGTGTTTTACAAAGGTCAACGAGGTCAAATGTTTCTATTTTCTACTCCTTGTTTTTGCCCACTTGTTTTATCAATTACTTAGACATGTCAAAATCTATTATGATAGTGGATTTTTTGATTTCTTCTTTTATTTCCTTAGTTTTTGCATCATTTATCTTAAACTTCTAATATTAGATACATATACATTTGTGGCAGTTATGTATTCCTGATGAATTAACACTTTGTCACACTGAAATGACTCTATTTCTAGTCACCTGTTCTGTCTTGACATTTATTGGTCTTTAATTATTATAACCACATGAGCTTCCTTATGCATATGCATTCTTTCATGTATATATTTTTTCCCATTATTACTTGCAATCTATATTTGTCTTTATATGAAAAACAAACTTCTTAAAGACAGTGCATGCTTGGCATCATTTTTTACCCAGTCTGAGAATACTGGACTTTTAACTGGAGTGTTTGTCTATTTACATGTGATATGATTATTGTCCTAATTTTTCTTCTTCCTTTTCTGCTTTCATTTAGGTTAAAATAGTTTTTAAACTTTTATTTCCTCTATGGGCTTTTTAACTGCATATTTTTGTATTATTGAATAGTCTAGATTCTACTGCATGTATCCTTAATTTTTCACAGTCTACTCAATATTGTCCTACTTCATATAGAATGTAACAAATTTATGGTACTTTAATTCTGCTTACCTTTGTGTTATTTTGTAAAATATTTTACTCATACATGTTATAAAATTGAAAATATGTTAATTTTTAAATTGAGGTATATAATTAACATACACCATTATATTGCTTTCAGGTGTACAATATAATGACTCAATATTTGTATATATTACAAAATGATCACCA